TCAACTATTTTATTCTTGTAGAGTTCTTGCGCAACATCCCTTTCAGAGACTAGAACTTCAGCAGATATGTGAAAAATTCCTTGAGTGGCCTCCTGAGAAAACAGGTTCCTCCCTTCTCACCTATGCACATGGGATTGTGCCACAACATTTGTTATAAACATGCACTTGCAAGTTATTGAGTGTTTTTTTTATATATCAGCTCATTAATTATCAGTTTGCTTAGATGAATACATCCTTCCTAAGATTGCTGAAAGGGATTTATGGCGATTTGCCAATTTGCGTGCTACTTCATCTAGATTAGATGTTAAACTTTCACTAAAGGAGGTACTCATCAGTCTCTATATTTGATTTATTTATCATCTCCTGTAATTTTTGTTTGACTTACTATTGCTGGACTTGCTACTTTGAAGTGACCCTTGTCATTCATGTTAGGTAGATGGCAGTGTACTGTTATCAATGCTTTGTATGCATCTTGACTACAATGCTGTATTAGGATTTCCGATTTCCTGACGATCAATAGAGCATCATACTCTTAACATTTAAAAGTCAAGACAATAGTCTGGAACTATCATAAACATTAATGATTGCAAGTTTCAATAATTATATATTATTTCAACAATAATGAAGCTACAATCAGTATTTGACCAGCAATAGTTTCTACGTTGTAGATACCAGTCAAGTGCCCTGGGTCAGCAATTATTAAGCGCAGAAAAGTTCAAGGGAAAGAATGTTTTGAGGTCTCATGGGAAGATATAGATGGACTTAAAACCTCTATAGTTCCAGTAGATCTTGTGGAGAGGTATGCTGCCATTATTGCATTTGATTATCCTTCTTATATTAACTATAACTCTAAAAATAATTTTGGAGTTGGGTTAGAGCTTAGCTTATAGGGTGACGGAAGTGCAGAATCCACATTCAATTTCCTTCATCTCTTTTTTGTTAACAAACAATTTTTATGAACACATCTATTTTTGGAATTGGTATTTTCATATTTTGGAAGGATGCCCTTGAGCTATGCCCATGCAGAAGACTGTTATAAATTAGGGGGTTCATAGCCAATCCATATTTATTTGAACTAGTTAGCAGCATTTTTCCTATGATATAGCAGTTAAGTTACCATACCAGATATATAATTTGTATCCTACCATTCCTGTTTATCCATAGTGCTTGTCCTGAAAAGATCGTGGAGTTCGAAGAGAGAAGTGCATTAGGGAAGAAGCAAAAACAGCGTAAATCAGGACCAAAGAAATCAGAAAGCAAAACTTCTATGACTGCTATAGATAAGAAACTCCAAGATCTGTTGCTTGACATCGAATTAGGAAGCAATCCTATTCCCATCCCATCAAGAGCAGATGTTGCAGACAACATAACCCCAG